TTGTGAAGCCTAAGAAAAAGCAAAACAGGATAAATAGAGAAAAAATAAAGAGAAATCAAACGAGAGAGAGAGAGAGAGAGGGACATCTGCAGAAAGAAGGATTTGTACATTGCGATAGCGAGGCAAATAGTTGTATCCGGGACTGGATAGGGGGTGGTCACTTTTGATGATGGTTAAGGAAAATTGGGCATATGCAGAATGAAACGGGTGGTTGGGAGAGGAGGAAGGATATGACAAGGAGAAGGAGCAGTAGGAGGAAGATGAGCAAACGATAAATGTTACAAGCGTTACAATTGTTATCCAGGCGGCGTGTTAAGAAACGAACGCACACGGGGCTACGAAAGTGCCGCACCTATGTGTATCGATGTAGAGACATAAAGACAAGTGAAATCACAGTGTGCGTCCTATGCCGGGCCGACAACAGATCTATGACTGATCGATAATGATTGCCAGACCGGTCCCCATTCTATTAGTTGGTCTGGTGAGGCGTAGGACGTTGTAGTACATAGTACAGCGAATGTATCGTGTATGTAGTTACGATTCAGTTGCCTAAGCGATGCGATGTAGAATCGGAGTTGTTGGTTGAGCAATTGTCTAGATTCGATTTGGAATGTACAGGGCGTAATAAATAAATAAATACAATCAGCACAACGGCTTTGCATATGGCGTGAGATCACAGACAGCTGGCATAATGGTAAACTATACATTTGGCAGCCAAAGAATGTGCTGCGACGGTTACGCCGAAGATATATCGGGGCAGTTTGATCATGTTCATCCAACGTAAACGCGTGTTAATATGGCGTGCACCTACAAAAGCATAAAAGCTTTTCTTCCTTTGAGCCAATTTGTACATGAAAACCGCACATCAAGATCCCATATGGCAATCATATTTAGTTTGACAGCGTCAAGATTAAGCTTAACTTCGATGAACTTCCTATATGTAAACGTGTGAAAATAATTAAAATTTTACTGTGAAGATGAGAATTATCTCCTAACAGGATTATTGAAAGAAATCGCTTTTTGCTTGTAACTTGTAGTGAAATGACTGTTTAAGAATGCACGGTAAGAAACGTAATGGCTGATCTAGCGATAACGCATAAAAACCTTCGCGTCGTACCATTGATTACACAATTTATTCACCTAAGATTAAAGTGTCCGTCAACGTGTGTGGTCAGCAATTCTAGTTTGTTCATTTCAAGTATTCTATTGGATTGTTTAATGTGGTACCCCGTGTGTGCTATTCTCAATAGCTTCATGAAAAATGCTGAATATAGGATAATCAACTGAACTGCCAGTTAGCTTCCGTTCTGTATTGACACCATGTTCGCAGTCTAACTACTACCTGGACCCCATGCGATGCATACTAAAAAACTCGAACGACCTCAATACTATAGGTAACAGTCGTATTCGTATCGAGAACTGTCAACGGTCTCTGTGCATAGCGGAACGGCCACTAAGTCATCACCCAATTGACGATACAGCGGTTAGGCCGAACAGATCGAAGTTGGATCACTTTATGGGAAAATATCACGAAACTGTTCGATATGTTGCTCCCTTCGAAATTGTCTATCTAGTTCGTGCTATTCGTTCCGTTAAAGATGCTCGTAGTGTGGTTTTAGCGATTCTCCTTGCCTTCGTCAGACACACAGGTGCTGACGCGTTGATTCATCGTTCTGTTCACCGGCCGAATTCAATGTGTGCAGTAGTTCGAAGCCCTAATGCCGCCTCTTGTTTTGCGAAGATCGGCCCACATATTGACGCGAACGACAACACGCTCGCATGCTTAGGTTTTCACCTACAATTGACAACAAAATCGTAAGTAGACGCTGGCTTTTACACAGTGTCCATAGACATCACCTTTCATCACGGATATCGACGACAATCGGAACGAAACACAAATGCGTATTATCAAACACAGTTATTTAAAGCCCGGACTGAGGTTACAGATGATAAACAGCGCTACGGCAAATGAGGAGGTATACATCAAAATGGAAAATTGTGGCGTATCTCACGCGCGGGAGCGTACTCACCAATCGAACTTGATTGTCAACTCTGCGTGGCCTTTGTCTGCTAATTCTGATCAAATTGTACAATGACAAAACTGAAGAAAATATGATTACTTTTATTTGCTGGAAAGTGACGCGATACGGTTTTTGGTAAGCTATGATTGATTACGGTGCTCAGTGTGACAAATGCCGACCAATTTTAATCGTAGCCCATCTAAGAGTCACCAATAAAACAATGAATAGTATAAAATTACAATAGATTGCTTACTGACCTATGACATGGTTAAAATGTATATCGGCTGTTTAACTGTACACCAATTTACAGCTATCTTTACAGTAAGAATTTATGCAAAATGATTTGGCATTCAATTAACTGGCTCACAATTTTCCAGTACGTTATATTACTATAGAAAACGGTTCATTTTTGAGCTAAGGCAAAAACCTTAGATGGAATTTGAAGGTACAGAGATAAATAACTACGTGTATGCAGGGTAAGCTGGGTCGTCAACGTACCGGTGTGACCTTTCGTATTTATTGATAAAGAACCACATTTGTCGAGGTCTACATTACTGATGTGCGTACGAGCATGCGTCTATGAATAGGAAATTCATTTATCGACCACATTCATTGAAACCTCAACTCTCAATTACTATTATCAATTCTCCTATTCGATATACCTGCAAATGAGTATGATCGTCCTGCCCAAAATACCCTTTTTATATTCGGAAGGGTGCACTCCGGGGCATTTATCTCTGTGACAGGCAATACCAAGGCATTCGCATCGGCCTGCTGCCTGCTCTTTTGCTCGTAACCCTCAACTGCTCAACGGTTGCGGCGGCATGCACTTTTCAGCTGCTGCCGTTGCCACTTCTTGTTCTTGTGTCCTGAAGATGCAGAAATTGCAACCACCCCTTCTTGCCGACAATAACAACCCTCTATTTTGGTTTCTCTCGGTCTCTCATTCATTCACAGAAGATGCGGCAGAGGCACAAAGCGAAATAGTACTAAAGCGCACTGGTGAGTCGAATAAGCGCGTCGACATGATTCGACCCCGATACACAGCAACGCTGCAGCCAACTCGACCCGATTGCCCTGCCGCCCAACACCCCTACCATCGAACATTTGTTATTTACAAAGTAGTAAAATTGCTCGAAATGCTCGCGAAGTGTCGGCGCTCTGATGCCGAGGAGCTGCTGAAACTGGCCGAGAAGCGCGCATCAAGCAGCCGGGCGTACGCAGCAAACGTCGGAGGAAAACACTCGTGCTGAATTCGCTTTCTTTCTCTCTCCCTCTCTTGTATCTGATTGCTACGACGGCTAGGTCGTCAACGAGCACCTTAGACTGGCGTTGTTGGTAGTAGGGTTCGTAGTCGACACTTCGTTTCTAACATCCGACCTATCTGTTCTCTAGTTGGCTCGTCCATATTACCGCCCCTGTTGAAAAAGTGGTATGGCTCACGCAAACGGCGAACCTGCATCCAATAAACACTTCAACAAGCAACGCGAGAGATAGGCAAGCAGGTAAAAGAACAGAATCGGACGCTCCGAGCTGGATGTTAGTGCTCAGGGTGCTGCTGATAGTTGGCAAGTTTGCGTAAGCGGATACGAATGCAGCAACGGTCCTTTTATTTTTCCGCTGGCACTAGCGCTCAGCAGAAGGAAAAGGCTAAAGAGGTTAAAATTGCGCGACAATGATGAAGGAGACTCACGAAGTTACAGACAACAAAAATTAGAAACCAAGGACGACCGAATTCATCAGATCCTGAGAAGGTAACTAGTGCCGTTTTTTCCGCAGGTGTAGGTGACCACTTACCTGCGAGTAGGGCGGAAGAAGGCACCAACGAGACCTGTCAGACGGCGGACAAGATACGTAGAGAAAGAGCCAGCGTTTCTCATAGCTTAGGAAGTGCAAGCGGAATACAGAATAACGCACCAAATATCCTGAAGAAAGGAAGAAAAATAAGGAGAGAAATGGGCCATGGGTTTAGACAAGTGAGTAAGTCAGGCAGCTGACGAATTCGAACGGCGAAACATTCGAGCTAAGTTTGAATGAGCAGTGCGGCATTCGCCCACACAAACTCGGAATTGGCGCCGTCAGCCTCTCAGACAACAGCTGAGTTCAAAAGAAACCATCGTTCGTCTAACTCGCGCACCAACACAACAACGGCATAGAAACATTCCTACCTTTGGAGATGAAAAAGAAAGGGAAATGCTCCGGCGGTAGAGGCAACTACGCCCGTGGTGGTAGTCATGGTGGAAGTGGCAGCAGTGGTCATAATTTTGCCTCCGACAGGAGCTCAGTGAGCTGAGGAACCGCCGGCGGCATCAGAGAACGAAGGCCGCCACTGAAGCCTGTCTCTGTTACTGGCTGAAAGATCTGAAGTATACATGGACGGGGGCGTGCAACGTTCTGAATTTTAGATTGAATCTCTATTGCAATAGCCGTCTCAAGGGTAGCAGCAGCAGGAGTAAAAGAAGCGTTTGGGAGTGCGCTTTAGGTGCCTTACTTGGTGCCTAGACAGCGCTAGATTGTATGTTACCGATATATGTAAAGCGGGTCGAAGGTTGATTGGCCTTAGACTTTCCTCTTAGAAGCCAATATAAAACAATTTCGTTTAGATGAAACGCGCAGGGTAGCACAGTCGGAGCTGCGGACAATTGCAGGGTAGCTGGTACAAATTGAAAAGGAAGAGATATAAAATGGATTCGGGAAAACGAAAGCGTACGTGCGTACGCGTGCACTGTTCGGCTGCGTTCTGCTATGGCAGCTTCCATGGCGGAATATTTATCTCAAATATGTGAAATAAGCGTGTCCTGATCCCGTCTGATTGTTGGATTCGTTACTCGCTAACAATAATCGAGGCTAACGGAAACAATGAGAAACTTGACGTTTCTTAAGACTGGATAGTCTTGCCGCCATTTTGCGTGTAAGTTATTGATGCTCTAACTAGTTTGCTTATTCAAATTGATAAGTTTTTATAGATTACACGTTGAGCCAGCTAAAACATTTTATTATTAAGAAGAATCGTTTTTTGTTACTGAAAAATTCCATATTATTTGTATTTGATGCAGAATTGTAGGACCTATGTACCATCGCGTGTTACCAAAGTGCCATGAAATATACTTTTACATAAGTTACGAAACATAGTGGTCCAAACCCGTTGAAGGACACCAGTTTATGAAACATCAACCACCAAGCGATTTATTAGTCAATTGTTGTCGCACAATTGTGATGAATACTAAATGCCGCGCAGGCCTTCCTCAACACTAAGCACCCGTATCTTCACATATATATCATATCGCGAGGTACCTAATAGTATGTGTCGTTTATGTTTTATATATATAAATATATATATGCCATAGTTCTGGCTTTCAAGCTTATTGAAGATTCATCTGTTGGACGACGGCGCGAAGACTGTCAATTTCTTTTTTCTGCAACATAGATAAAAAAAATTCTATTACCTGACTGTTGTAACGTTAAATCTACATATTGTCTATGTTCCAAGACGGACACGGGACTCATTGACTATTCAGCTGATTCACTTTTAGCTCTTAACAAAAAATTAATTTAAAACTGTCAAACTTTCTAAATTGACATACACTACTAGCGACCTAAATGCGTCAGAACTGTATTTTCATGTTAAAAAATAACAATAGTTCCACGTTATAGCCATCTCAATTAAATGTTTATGTGTTTTTAGTAGCAACAGGTTCCTTTTTTTTTAATTTTAATAAATAGATATTGAAGGGGACCAACCGCGATAGCCAATTGTGAATGGCTGGACTCGAGTTCCGATTCTTTGGCTTTCAGCTGGAGCTCCAGCCTGTTCAGTGCTTTCTTGTGGTTACGCTCATCCTCTTGGGCTTGGACTTTGAGAGCTTGAATCTCGTCGCTTGCATTAGCCAATACCTCGTCCCTATGATGTTCTAGAGCGTCACAGTTAGCCCGTGTCAAGGACATTGCAGCAAGCTGTTCTTCAACAACTTTCGTTAGAGCGGCGTTACCTTCACGGCACTCGGCCATTCGCTTAAGAGTCGCGTGCATTGAGCGTTCGAGGTTGCGAACCACGTCGTCCTGTTGAGCATTACGCTCACGTTCTGCCACCAGGGCAGCCTTTAAACTGGCAACCTGTTTACTATCGTCACCACTTTGCAATGTGTCGTTCTTTAATTTGACTTGAACTCGGTCTTTAAGGACAGTTACGACTTTCTCATAAAGAGCCAAAGCTGTCTTCTGGCTTTCAACGGTCGTGTTGAGTTCGGCCATACGTGTCAGTAACTGAAAAAGAACAAATATTTACATTAGCATAGATAAAAATAATAATGTAAATAAGATCCTTAAATTGAAATAGCTCGATACGTACGGACAGAAAAGCAAAGTCACTTCACGCTGTACTATTTGGGGCAAGTCTTGCAACGTGAAGATTTTAAGTGGGCAGACTGACTATCTAGACTGAATTAAAAATTCGCATTGCGTATGATGAGTTGCACGCCAAATAGGCACTCGCATATAACCTACTACTATTCGACTACAACAAAAGTTTATTAAATTATTTATAACTAGCGGTCAACAAGCAATTTTTTAAAGTACAATTATGTGATTTAACATGTTGAAATAAGATGATAACAAGAAGTGAATTAATGAATAGTAATTGCTAGATCTAAGAATATCAATGTTCTCTTAAAAGAATTCCTCTCACCTCCTCGGTATCGATTTCTGGAAACTTGGACTCCGAAATAACGCTTTTTTCTCCTACAAAAGGGTCAGTCTGGACACTGATATTGCATACGCTTTTTGGCCTGGCGAAATGCGGCGTTGGTAATCCCTTTACTAACGGCGACACAGTAGTACGCTCGATACGGGTCATTGGGGTCTTAAATTCTGTTGAGTCGACCAACCCACCAGATGGAGTACACAGTGACTTCGTTTGTGAATTATCTTCACTTGAAGACTCGGGTTTGATCGGATCGAACATCGCGAGGAATGACACACGAGTATACTTTTCACCCTTTATCTTTGAATTAGTGCTCATTTTTTCCAAAGTGCTCTAAAAATAACGGGGTAATGTTAATCAGATAGCATAGAAACTGAGCACTAGTGAGGGACTGTCTCTGTTGTAACTTGAATTACTTTTGCTTGCCACTCAATTTCTGTTTTAGACACGCTATGGAAACATCTAAATTATTTTTTTAATTCGTTTTTGTATCCTAGACACTGTCTGCTTAAAGCAAGAATTTAGGCAAAGGCGAACTTACAGAAGAGATATAACCAGAAAATTTCCAGTAATAGAACGTTGATTTAAAATGTTTACTCTATCAAATGGTCTAAGTTTTTAGTATTTTTCAGATGTTGCGGGTCAGAAATTGACACTATTCGAGCTATTGAATTTTTTTGACTGAACCTCAAAAAGTAGAGCTCTAAACGACCGAATCTTTTCTTCCTTTAATTTAATTTGTTGAACGATAAACAAGCCAAATATCCAGTTGCTCTTTTTAACGCGGTTCTGTCTATCACAATGTATTTTAAAAGTACATTAGAAGCAAATCATGTTTGTTTTTATGTTCAGTTGTATTACACGACCACCCCCGGCCTAAATGAGCCTGTATGGGCCATTGTATTTCAAGCATACGTGAAACAGCGTGCCATCGATGCTAATTTTACAAGTAAATTGAAATAATTAAGTGGCGTTGGACTATAATTCAGCTTGTTAGAAATGCTCATATGTATACGTACTGCGTTGTGTACGATACGTGTTAAGCTAATCGTAATCGTTGTATCACATGTTGTCAACAACCTGATACATGTAATTATACATAATTTTTGACTGGGTAATAAACATGGCGCATCTTTCGGACAAAACAATGTCGCCAACATGTGCACCATATTGCATCGCTCGTCGCTGATCCGTGATACATTTTGTGTGCCTTTATTATAGATTGTAATCATGATCATGGATCAAAACAAACAATATACAGTTAATTATATAAGTCATGCACAACGACAGTTATGCAAACTTCAGTGCGGTAAGTTGGCTTCGGGAAAATATGCACATATTGTAATTATTCTTTTCCACTTCTCGATGAGGCCCGTGGATGAGCCAACGCTAGAACCATTTGAAACTCGACTTCACACTGCGCAATAGAACACCGCTATAAAGCTATGGTATATGAGCTTGCCCAACTTGGCAATCAATGATTATAAAGCATCATTTATCCTAGTCAGAATAACAAGCCTTCCTAGAAAAAAAAAAGTATTTCATCTATGGCTTTATTCAAGGTTGACTTCTTCGGACGAAATATCAAGCGACCCCTCTTTTTCCCTGCATACATCGTCATTTGTTCAGTATGCTCTAAAACAAACTAATTAAAGCATCGATATATTTTCGCTGTATTTATGCAGTGAAAACTATTAAACAACTTTTGATAAACAATAGACAGACCAGATCAAATATATCCGACGGTATGGGTTGTCCAGAAGATGAGGAAAATACGAATGAGCCCATTTCAGCAACACCATTGTTGTCAAGGGCTTTTGCCGCGGCGGCAGAAAAATCGAATGCGATGGACTCATGTTGCAACAAACTCGTTCGCCCATTTTCAGACAGACCTACAATAAGACGAACATCAATCGCGTATAAAAATTATAGGTTAAACATGAAATTAAATTTATCGTCTAAAATGAAAGGGGTTGTCAACGGCTTGTTATACTTACGGTTCAAATTTATATTTATAAGCATAATAATATAACGGTAAGAATCAGTTTTGAACACTAACATTTTGACATATTGGGCTGAAAATTCGCGCGTTTCGGAGACGAAACGAAACTCAACTCAAGTATACTGCACCGCCTCTTGAGAAAAGAGCCGCCACTGCCTCGACGTTCCTCACGAGGCTTAGCAGTGTTATCTTTCTCGAACTCATCTTTATCCCCACTAATATCATGCTCCGGTTGAGCGTCTCCATTATCACAAACGGTCAATTTTGATCGTCCCGTTCGAGGGGTGCTTTGAATACGGTTGGCAATAGTAAGCTTTTCAGGTGTCCGCAAGAATTCTTTTGGGTCTACGGACGTCTTCTCCAGGTCTGTCTCGACAGGACCATCAGGGTCGTGTGTTTGATGGACACTTTCTTCTGTTCTACATGTTTGATCGATTCGAAGTTCCAGATCAGGCGTCTTGTCCAACGCCGAACATTCTGCACCTCCGGTGATAGTTGACGTCTCTTTGTCAAACGTCCCGTTATGATGCGATTCCTCCGAAGCAACCTTGTCAAAAGTGTCGTTGAGGTTTGCGTCCTCAACAGATTTTTTGCTTAAAGACTCAGAAGAATTGATGTCAAGGGTTAATTTGTCTTTGTCGAACGTATCGTTAAGTTTCGACGCCGGAGTTCTGTTACCAGACGTCGATAAGGGCACGTCTAGCTTGTCACCACTAACGGGTAGATCCAAATTAGACTTATTCGGAGTTTTGTCAAACGTGTCATTGAGGCGCGTCTTAGAAGCCGATTCTTCCAGTAATCCTTCACTAGATTTATTAAAATTCGAGTTAGCAGGAAAAACGACGGCAGAATTAGCTTCCGCCGAATGTGGAAACCTCTGCAAAGTGTCGTCAGCGATAGGGGTTGGGGTAATACTGCGTTCTGAGGAATCGAGCCCCATCCCCTTTCCTATTTTTGGCGGATAAGCCGATGCAGGCATATTTTCAACCTCGTACGTTTTTCTCCTGCAACTATCTATTGCAGATGCAGTGGACACAAGGCTCTCATGGTCCGTTTGACTTGACGAAACATTGCTCTTGATTTGTCCAGCCACAGGTAGGCCTTCGGTTTTAGAATGGCTGTAATGAAATATTGAAGGAAACTTAGTTAAATATCTATTAAAATGGTCAAGAATCATGGTAAAGATATCGTGATTTAAACATACTTATATTTCAGAGGTTATATGATTTTTCCTCATTAAACTATATTTAGTTAGTTTACCACCCACTAAACTATACGTTTGTTACCTAAATAAAATGTTTGTTATTTGAGTATTTGCTCTAGTAAAATATTCACTCGTTATCCAAGTAAAATATAATATATTACCAAGTTTACCATTATACGAACTACTAAAAGTAAGTCCAAGGTTTACAACGTACCTTTTCTTTGTACATATATGAATTTCCGAAACATTGTTTGCATCATCTCTCATATCAACGGACATATTTCCATCGACACTCATCATGCTAACGTCGCCCATGACTGACCAGTCAGCTTGACGCTGGCTCTGCGATTGAATTTGATCTAATAACACGGAAGAAGGCTGGCGAAGACCGTTGGAGCACGAAAATTTACGGTCACCTCCGCAAGCTTCAAAGCTTTCGAATGGTGTGGTGAACTCTTGAGCGTATAACTTCTGCGAAGTCTCTTGCTCAATCAAGCTTCCACCAGGACTTTCGCTGTGAGCTCTGGCTGTGGCAAAAGAAGTTTGCGCAGTTTCCCCCGAACAATCGCTCAAGGGCTGACAATCTCGCGGTAGACAAACAGCGGCGTCAGAAAGACCTGGTAAAGACTCGATTAAGTCACTATCTCGACCTAGCAGGATTTGCCCTTCAGAACAGTTTGATATAGCCAAGGGTGACTGAACGTGCCCTGCAGAACCTTTGAACGACAGTCTTGGACTAGACGTGGTGATCGCACAGGTTGGAGTCGAGGTACAAATGCTTGCGCAATTAGGTGACTGATTTTCGTCGGTCGAACGTACCTCGGGGTTCTGTAAGGAATACGAGAAAATGCGTCATCTTGGCTGGGTATTGCTCAATATAGAAAGATAATGTACATGATACATCGTGCATATTTCGCATTACATAAGTCTGTAGAAGTAGTCGAAATGGCATAAACTGCATCTCCTTCTACTGTAGCTATGCAGTCTAGAAATTTAATAAATAAAATATCATTTTAATGGCGACAAAAGCACGTTATGGTATTCCAATAAAAACACACCCTTGAAATTACAATTTTCCGTAGAAACGTTTAAAGAAGAACCAAACCGCCATTTCAACTGTACCACGAGTTCCCGCTAGGTCATATTAACGACAACTGCAAGAATCGAATAATCAGCAGTAAATGAGCGCTCGCATATAAACAATAGTTCACAACTTTTTGGTCAATGTTAACACCTTGTAAATAGTACCTAGGTGAAATTTGCCTTAAACAGACAATCGCAAGATAAGATTATAGAAGTATACCACAGAAGCGACTTTTAGATAAAAAAAATACAGCTTTATAAGAGGCGCTACAGTTTACGTGTACATCCAAAAGCATCTATGTATATACGTCCAAAAGACAGTCATTATCAGTCGTAAATTTGTATAACAAATGCTGACCTAATAATTTGCCATATAAAGCAGACTGATATGGGCAGAAATCGTCGACAGGAACAAATGCTCTAAGGGCATGCACTCCCTTTGCACTGCCACAACGACTGCCACATATTCATCCTCGAACCTATTCATCATTCAACATCAAACTCAATATAGAAAATACTACTTTGTTATGGTACTGTTATGACCGCCCTAGCAGCTTTTCTCTGAAACCTTCAGTGTTAAAGCCTTTATTTTACCTTAAATATAGCGGCGATAGGAGTCTGAATCAAATCGTCATGGTTTTTCTTTTTAAATGTATTTGAAGGCGTTCCAGAATTAGAAGAGATTGACTCTGACATACACACAGTAACGTTCGGCGGCGTTGTAGCTATAAAATCTCTGGTGAGATGCAACCTTGGCCCAACAGCAGAATCGTGTTGATTAAGGCTGTCATGCAGTTCGAGCTCAACTGTCGTATTCAAGTTGTTCTTTGCAGGTTTACGAAGTTCATGAAAAGACAGAAAAACAAATGGTGAATGTGTAAAATTATGAACATTATAGAGACAGCGGCAATAATAAGAAAAAAAAAAGCTAGGTTGAACACATATGCGCTATGATATATTGTTTTTACCAGAAGTATAAGTCCATTCGGTTTGTTTACATTCCTTGGACGACAGACAGCCTATCCCAACGAAGTAACCCTGCCTTAGACTAATAAATTATATTCTGCTAAAAGCGTTACGCGCATTGAACAAACTTACCGCTGAAGTAGTTGACATTATGAATAGATGGTAGACATACACTCTGTACAAGGACAAGCAACAACGGATTTTACACACTGAACAGTGCGGGCCGCAGGAGAACACGTTACATCAATTTAACGTAGATTCGTTGAGACACAGCACAATTAAAAGATAACATAAACGAGTACATACGAAGTGAATAGATCATATGTAGAGATCTTTTATTATATAGGTTTGTACAACGTAGCGCTTAGTATTAGCCTAGGCTCTTCACAAATCGACTTCGATGCATTAAATCCTAGTTGTCCAAACATTTCCATTACAAATATTATATCTATAGAAATAAGTAAATTGAGTATTGACAGCACACGTTTAAAGTGCAACTTACGAAATTTCAAGAACAAAACGAAAAACTTTGCTTACAGGATTAATGGAAACACGCGATTTTTTTAGATGTAACGAATTATTTGCTACGTCTGCTCCAGGCAACCGTCGTTCGCGGAGATAAAACCGCGCCAGAAGTAACACATGCAGATCGGCTCCAACCGATCGTACAATCGGATCTAAAATGTTTCTGAAAAAGTTGTTGTGACCTATAATTAAAACTTATACCTTTATGATTGCTTTAAACATACTAAATGTTTTCAGTTGTCATTATTGATCTATGAAAGAGATTCGACAAGCATTAATGCAATGCTGAAGGGAGCCATAATCTATGCCTATTACCTCTTTCAAAGTACAAGCGGTCTCTGCGAATGACGATGAAGGAAAAATTTTAGAGAATATTAAGTTTTTGTATTTTCGTTGCAGCAGCTGGAAGCGATTCAACACAGTGTGCATCTGCCAAAGTAAAACTCCAGTTTGAAATATTTATGATAGATTTATTCGCTTATTGTCCATAGAAAGCTGAAGTTTTAAGCACTCAGCGTGATACCTATTGTCTTTGATAATTTTGTCGAGTGCTATCACTACCTGAGTGCAATTTAAACTAGTAGATAATGCTGAATGGTGCTCATAATGCTAATGGACACACTGAACCCCTGCAAACCCTATCACTAGGAAAACAATATGCGGGGCTCTCGCGCTTATATTCCAATCAACAACACTGAATTTAATTTTATATCCTAAATATGTAACCCCTAATATTATAATTTTATTTACATTTTAATGGATATATATAGTGGAGCTGTATATGGCAACGGCTGTATCTGACTGATCATTACTGTACGTCACACCATATTAAACTGGAAAAACCAAAACACTATGTCCTGCTTATGACAGGGCAGTGTTAAACTATTAAACCCACGGACATGCGGTGGTCTACGTTCGAATCAGGGCTTAGAAACGCTTTGCTTTTTTTGTGCTGGGAGTCTGCCTGGGAAAAGTATTTTTCTCATCTAAACCTCTAAGAGAATCCATCGTTATACAGTAAATGTATCGCTTTCTAAGCAATCGATAGTCGCAGTGACTTCATTGCGTCTGTAGACTTTAGAGCGGTGATTAAGCTTAGAGACTTCAGCTTTTGCGAAACGCCCGCAAAACTTTCATGAGCAATTTGATTAAGCCTGACGCTAACATTAGAATTCACTTGGTGCAACAATCATTTTAAGAAACTGTTTTCAAAGAATGTAGTCGATGAAGAGGGTAACATATTACAAATAAAGACGCAGGACTGGTATAGTTATCAACAATAACAATTAATTTATTCAGTGACACGAAATTGTCTATACGTAATTCACTTTTCTATGCCTATGAAAAATCATACTGCAAGACGTAACCAACCGTATGGATCAATGTCTTCAAACGACTGAGTGTGATGACAAAATAACAGATGGTTTTTCGCCTGCTCATTTAGCTTGATTATAATTAAATAAACTACATTAAAATATGAGCTAGTTTGATTAATTCTAATCGGTATACATGTGATATTGCAGTGTATACAATGTAGTAGTTGGCTACTTTATATCTACGATCTCGACGCCGTATTAGGACGGGCCAATCCACAAATAATAATTTTTGCGGCGAACTACATTATATAGCCGTCCGATTCGTTCTGCCTAGGCGGTCCTTATCACGCGCTAATTACGGATTTCTGTCTCAAAAACCTGGCCTCTTATTCCGGTGAATTGTTCTGATTCAAAGAAAGACAAGGATATAGGTCAGGTTTATTACATCCGTGTTAGTAGGAGTGACTTCCTGGATAATTGATAAAGGAAGAACACGTAGTATTATTTAGTTTAGTAAATTGTAAAAGCGAACGCCGCTTTTAGATATTTAGAGGGCTACGAGGATCTGTTTAGTTTTCGACATTTATTTCTGCAAAAGGCTAATTCCTCCCATGTCTTCTGGTTTGTCGAGCCCCATCAGATCAAGGACTGTGGGCGCCACGTCACAAAGAGCAGCGTTGTGTCCAGCAGGAACACCAAACTTGCGGTTACCACCCTAAAAAAGCGAATTATTTGTATCAGCTTATTGGAAAAACAACCATTGAACAGACCGGTAGAACAATAAATGGTCGCACAGCAAAGGATAAGATTGGTATAAATAAAAAAAAATATGAGATTAAAGTACAATGCGTGCGGACCTCTCTCTGAGGAAATAAAAGCAATTGATCGACATCCTAATCAAGACAGAACAGAAATGAGAAACGTTTCACTTCAGATGCCAACGAAGGAAGAGGCTCAAAGAGTTTCATTCAGTCGAATTCGACCGGAAAAATATAATAATAGCCACCTTCAAAGGGGAATTAGAGAATACGCTCGTGCAAGCTATAGGCTGGTAGAAAGGGGAAAATACTAAGTCGATAGTCGCTGTAACGGACCGATAGGAGTTACCAACGTTAGACATGAACGTGGCATGTATCGCCTGTTCAGGGTCCGTAGTTTAGGAATAAATGAGTGCAACCACCTAAGAAGTGTACATGGAAATAATGCAGCCAATAAGGATTAGATGCAGATGAATGGGACAGAGTTGATTATCAGAACTTGTCCAATGGAAAAGAAAATGATATGCTATCATGAGTAAATTCGGTGTTTTCAATCTGAAACATGGCTCTCTTGTCTTTGTGATGCGGCGTAAATTATTGCTAATGCAGGGCAATAGATAGTTCCATGAAATATTGTGAAGTATTGCTATGCTTTCTTTACTGAAGAGGGCCCTATATAAAATAATGACAAGTAAATGTCTAATTGAAGTGGTACGTATTTGTAAAAACGATTCTACAAAAAATATGTGTAAGAATCGGTTTTATATAAATGGATATAAGCGGTTTATAGAAGTGGATAAATACTGTATTATACTATTAAGTAATAAGTAAAGATAATACACAGAGCAGCAAGGGTAAGCATGTACACAAGACGTGTATGTACTAAAACTATAGCTTACTTGCATGACGAACGGCACCCGATTTGTGGTATGCTGGGTGATGGGTTTTCCAGCTTCGTCTTTCATCAGTTCCGCGTTTCCGTGATCCGCAGTAACTAGGAGGATAACATCGTTCTTTTTGCAGCATTCAGCCACCTTATCAATCACGAATGATTTTTATAAGAGAGAAAAAAGTACAACAGAGCGTGCTGAATTACCAGCTAAATAATTCGTCATCATTAGCAGTAAGCACTAGACCCGTGATTGCCGTATTCTAGCAAATGTAGTCTACCCAAGAAACGAGTGAACCAATATAAGTGTCGCATATATATATAACATCCGATATGAATTAATTCTGGTGGAGTTCCATTTTATTGTTTTAAATGCTCCTTATTGCCGCCGCAGCCTGATAATGTTTTATTCCTAGAATTATATTTAAATAGACTGACTCACATTATCTTATTATACCGTACAGTATTACGCCCTGCTGCAAAAAGTTTAGTATTTTTAAATGACTATTATGAAATAACGATCTGAAATGTTTGCAGTTTTATAATTTTCTTTTTTTTTTCATAAGGATTCGTAATGAGATATATAAATTGATATAATTTCAGCCTAAAAATTAGAAGAATTTGATAAGTACTAGACTAAGTGCAGTGTATACCTGCCCAATGGCCTTATCAGTCGCCGTACAGGCGATCACAGCAGCTTCATATTTTCCTGTGTGTCCAACCATATCGGGTGGCGCAAAGTTGCACATCGTAAATCCGAAATTTCCGGATTCGATAGCCTTGCACAGTTCATCCGCAACGCCCGCGCAGTTCATTTCTGGCTGGAGATCGTATGTCGCCACCTAGTGGTGAAAAAGCCGAAACGATAAAAAAGGTCACAAGTGGAAAACAAATAAGAAAGAAAAAACAAGAGTATATGTATATATATAGCTCAACATTACCAACATACAGCATCTGCATATACCGTCAAGTCTTCGCGTGTTTCTATTATCTCTGCTATTCATTAAAGAATATTAACTTGCGGTATCTGCCCCTTAGTGATGTGGCAAAAAAATATGAAATTGGTCTATTAAGAATTTCATGAAAACGTATAATCAAGTCGCAGCATGAACATTTAGGATCGGTCCATACTTTAGGAGACGGAACCATGCATCGCTCCTCGCCCTCGAAGCTTTTTTCTTGTCCACCGTTGAAGAAAAACGTCACATGGGCGTACTTTTCGGTCTCAGCGCAATGGAATTGTTTTGCGGACTTCTTACTTAGCCATTCAGCTAACACGTTTGAAGGGACCACGGGCGGGTAAAGCATTTTAAATTTGAACTCCTTCTTGTATTGGGTCATCGTGAACAGCTCAATGTCCTGAAACGCATGTAAGACACAGATCACCCAAATTAGAATAACACTAATAGGAAACGAGTTCAGAGGCACTTGAATGTATTTCTTGGAGAACACATTTGTAGTTTTTGAATAATTCATGTTTTTAGATAAGTTTTCGAGAAAAACCTTCATTCTTCTCTAAAAATATTTACATATGAATGTTACAGAGCAGAACTGTAATTATTACCTTAGGAATAACTGATGTCTCAAACGGCGGCTTTTCTCCCAGAGCTTCACTAAGCTGTCGTGCCCTATCCGAACGATAGTTGAAGAATACGACAGTATCACCATCACGGATTAAACCCTCTTTGTCGATGATGATCGGCTTAAGGAATTCGTCCGTTTGACGCTCGGTCTCCTCAGCTGCGTTGTATCTATTAATGTTATTACCATACGGGAAAGGTAGCGACGTATTAGCACTATTTACAGCTTAAATCACATGTATATATAAGTACTCTACAATCTAAAATATAATCTAAGATTATTGAACTCTTATCAGTCTACGTATGCCCTCATATGTAAATGACACGGGCTTACTAGAAGAAAAAAATCTAGAACATAGAAACAAGACACGTTTCTTTTTTTTTTAGCATAGACCAGTTTACTCAATACTGACCGGCCTTCAACGACTGAGATGACCTTGTCAAGCGTTGTTTCTTCGCCCTTGCCCTGGACGAGACCCTCGAAAGCAATCTGGATGCGCTCCCAGCGTTTGTCCCTGTCCATGGCGTAGTAACGACCCATAATGGTCGATAAGCTGCCGTATCCCGTTTTTGCCAAGTAGTCAATCAGCTGTTGCATGTACTTGGTACCACTTGTCGGTCGGGTATCTCTTCCGTCTCCGAAAAAATGTACGAAGACCTTCTGTACACCTATTTTTTTGGCGCCGTCGAGGAGAGCAAATAGGTGCTCGATATGTGCGTGAACACCACCATCAGATGTGAGTCCCATGAGATGAAGTCGGCCTGTTTTCCGCTTAGCCCGATTGCACGCTTCCGCAAAGTAGTTGTTTTCGTACATTCGTTTCGCAGCCACATCCTTGTTGATGCGCACAATATCCTGGAAGAGAACGCGGCCAGCGCCAATATTCAAGTGGCCTACCTCAGAGTTACCTACAATTATAACAAAAAGGCAATTTATGTTAATAAGCTAGGTTACGTGTGCTGTCGCTTTCTTCTAGATATATAGCGGGCTTGCTCTATTCTACTTCGATACAAGTCTGTGCTTACCCATCATGCCGTCGGGAAGGCCAACCGCAAGTCCAGAGGCGTCCAGGGTACAATAATTAGCATCTCCTGCCTTGGCAAAGGTGTCCATAACAGGCGTTGTGGCGTTAATAATGGCATTACCTTCAGCCCGATCCGACAGACCCCATCCGTCGATAACGATCAAGCAAACCTTCGACATGTTGACGTTGCTATTGTATACAGGGCCTTTCTTGAAACTGGTGGAAGATAACACCTGGAATTTAGTTAAGAAATATCGAGCATTAATCAGTCATAATCCGTAGGATAAGAAAAACAATGAATGTAATCATGGTTTGTTCTTTCGCTCTGTTCCTTCAGATCACTCGTATTGAGCTCCCTGGCATGATAAGTCAAAGCAGTGTTGTGACAGTTGTATTAAGGCCTGTTATAGAATAGGCAGCTAAAGTCGGTTATGGAAGAAGTTTTTCGTCGAGTCTCTATAAAACAACGATTATGTATGTTTGTATCTGTCGGTGTTTGACCGGATAACTTAATAAGGTGTTTTTTTTTTAAGAAATAGCTTACGTAATTGTTTCTTGAACTGTGCAGGTGTAACGTCGAGATAGCATGACAGAGCTTAGGATAAAACAATTTTTCTGACAACTAGTGATAGCCAATACTTTCTCGAGCGATAGATTCAATTTTTCAATAAAGGTTTTCTTAATATTTAAATTTTTAAAATGGCATAAATCAAGATAAACATACATAATCATTACTTAATAAAAATTCGACTAAAAAACTTCTTCCATCATTTACTTTAACTGCCCCTTCTATACTCCATAATGTACGAACGGATATTGAAGACTACACAAATAAAAATGTTGTTTTTGTTGTATAGATAAAGGTGTTATAATATAATAATACATTCTGTTAAACCAATTCGATAACCGATATGTAAGATTAGCATTTGTGAGTACACGTTGGTCTTTATAATAATATTCACATTCAAAATTTAAAAAAGACTTACATATGATACTACGACTATGCTACGATAAGTGGACAGATATCGCATAAGTATATTTTAGCTCTACTAGCCAGGCACCATCAGCATGGTCACTAAATGATTCCTACAAACAAAAATATATCATTGTTTCAACAGGGCTATCACAAATGTTGGTGTCTCAAAGACACCACACAAAGAATAGCATCCATAAACCTACTCCCTTATTGTGGAATATATCTAGGTACTGACTAAGCGATATAACCTATGAACAGAAATAAGACGAACAAAGTGGCCAAATAGTCTCGCGTTTGAAACTACCGTTCAGTAATCTATTTCGAAGACTAGGCATTTCTGGTTAGCTGTACATTTAGCACTTTGAATCGATTATACGTTTTACAAACCCAGTTTACTGACACCACGCGTAACGCATCCTATCAAGAAATGTTTTTAACCAAATAAGTACATCTACTTTATAAAGTAAAATAGTAATAATAAGAGAACTAAATCACAAATATTATATAAGGACAGTCCTACGTGTCCCCGTTAAACTGTACTGTGCACCTCTAGCGATTTTTTAAAAGACAATTCAAAATACAGTGTTTTTCGGTGACATTTAGACTTGCCTCTGAATTGCTCGATCAAGTTCAGCTGATTGTAAATGCATTACCACTTTAGTTTTTCACGGTATTTAACGCGTAACGTAGCCGGTTCGAATAGACAAATTAGAACCTATATAGAAAAGCTTCGATATTCGATTGGTTATCTCTATGCCATTCAATTAGAAGGTTGCAGATAAGGTCACTAGAGCTCGAGCTTTGTTATCGGTAGTGGAGTTTACATTATAGTATAGGCTCAGGACAAACAGCCATTCAGAAAAACAAATAACTTACTCTTTGCTGCGGATTAACAACGTGAGTAAATGCGTAAAAGCGTCGTTCTAACTGACGGTTTACGTTCGTCGTCCGAAGCCTCAGAGACAACCTTGCCAAAATCGTGGCGCTCATAGACCGTGTTTGAGGCTATTGCAATGGTGGGTAAGGTCAACATACTAAAGACATGGCGGCCCCCTGGTGGTTTCGGCTAGGCAACAGCGCCAAAACCCAGCGAAGTTCAGAGCCTGTTTCTGTTGTTCTATTCTACTTAGAAAAGAGTTCAAGCACCAATGAGCGTGACTTTGTTGCATATAGTTGCTCGTATAATAAAATTATTGTACATAAAGTAAGGCTAAATTATGCGAAATCAGTTGCTACCGGGTGTGACTCATCAGATGTTTATAACGCAATAACAGGCGGAAAATATAATTTAGAATATCTAGAGTTGATAAATAGTTCTTAACAGATCACCAATCTCATTGCACCGGTACTATTTCAAAGTATCTGATTTCTAGCCCAAAAATCTGCGTTTCTGTGCTAGCATAGATTGTTTTCGTTCAAATTTTGTCGGTCAATTAAAAAAAATATATTAAATTATATTTAATATAGAATTAACTTTTAAACAAAGCAAGGTACAAAATCATATTTATATTTATTGAATAATAGTCATTGATTTACTAAATTGAAAGCATTTCTATTGATACGAGAAATACGTTTTTCATTTGTCTGTTAATCGGTATTTCGTAAAGTACACGTACAAATTATACAACTGCTTAAGTTAATATGATACGAAGTAGCATTACAGGGATGACAACAAAATGAAATCAAACTGTTAAGTACTGCACCTATTTTGTATAGTCATTAAACAGTCATGCAGCGAACATTCAGCGCGAATTAAAGGGGTTTCATTACTCGGAAAAACAATACTTACGGGGTACTTTGTCCTAACTGCCGTACTTCCATCTTCGTTGAAATTGCCGCTTATAACGTCCCATATCACGATAACGACGACAGCTCAGTTAGACAAATATGACGAACTCCAAGCCCACAAAAACTATTATGCGTTTTTATCTAGAAAATGCGCGCAGTAAAGCAAAGTTTTCAATTGAGAGCACCCGGAACCCAACGGCTGAGCGGCTTCTGTCAACGGTACTATTTAGCGGAGTCCCATAGCCGCTCTCCATTGCCTGGCTGAACCCCGGTGGTCCGGGGTGCAGGCTTCAAACCTGTAGCTGGCTAGGGTCAGAGTGGTTCGATTCCACCTGCCAGGCGAATTTTGGTAAATTTAAGTAACAATACGTTTTCCTACTTTGTGGTGTCTAAAATGCGTAAATTATGCAGTCGGAGCAAACCTTCTATCTAAGGAAAGGAAAACAACCGAGCGGCAAAAAACCGCTTGTATATATCGTAGCCTGTAATAAACTAGTTTATCTACATTTTTGTGTGTGATAATTTATTTCTGGTAAAAAATTATTATACGGTTATTTAAATAAGACATGTGTCGGTTGTGCTTTCTGCAAAAACGTCAAGTGCAGGGTGACGTAAATAGGAAAATACTTCAGAGAGACGTGTAACAGACTGGAATGAATAACTGACGCAACTTCGCATGCGAATGACTATTGCTTATGTGCATGTAGTTGAGATTAGTGTTAATGGACAAATGTGGACAGCCAACTTCAACTCTTTAGGTCTATTTTTTCCGCACGAAGGCTGTTACATGGTTATTCACTTGGAAAACACACCCATATTTTCTAATACTATATCTTCATATCCACCAAACAACTTCCAAAAGTTGTTAGAACGGTAGAATCAAGTTTATACCCCTTATTTACTCTAAGGCAGAGCTTTTTACTAGAAAAAAACACGCATGATGCAAACTATAATAGTCTGCAATGACAGCGTTTACTCATTAAAATAACGTTGGAACGATTGGAACTGCCGAGCATCCTTAATACATTGCCGCCATTTTGAAAAGGAATAAGCCGAAGATAAAAATCTAAAAAGTCACATTGGTCAGGCCTCTCCATTCAAAGGTCTTCTAAATTCTAAAATAGGATAATGATTTATTAAATGTTTACATTTTCTAATTAATATGTACAGCTCACAAGCGCTTGACTCACCTTTATGCCCGAAGATCAATTAACATATTTAGATTCGGAGAAAATTGAAAAGCTTTTGCGGAAAAGCTTTATGATAGATTACAGATACACAACATTAGCTTTTCTCTTTACTCATAAAACCCTTCTGAATCAATATGGCCCAACAGAAATGTTCATTTCTTCATTGCAGCTCTATACTTATTATAATCGTGAACATTTTGATCTGATTTGTGACAAAATTAACTAACCACATACGAGGTAAAACAACAGGATAAGAACACACTCGTCATCTTCTTGGCGCTCGGACTATTGCTTAAATACACTCCTGGTAGCATCCCACACTAATATATTTTCCAGGTACGCTTTTTATATAAAAGCCCGTGTTTTTCTAGAGTGGCCCAATTGCTCAACGAAGATATTCGCGAAGCAAGTTTATATGCTTACTTCTCCGAAGCCTCGGACGCTGGGATACAAAATGGATTTAATATTATACGACATGTAGGACAAACTGCTTTTTTTTTTTTTTTTTTTTTATAAAACGTGTCATGTTATGAAACACAATGAGTGCTTCGCGTCTGAGCTCATCTTGAAGATCGTTGAATTCGTTAAAGAGTATCGTGCGCTACTCCTTCAGACAGAATATTAAATCAAATACATCATCAGCGTCTCTCAAGAGTACGCATTGACACAATGTTATTGCTAACTGTCAGCCAGGTTTTTCCGATCTCACCAATGGAGTTATTGAACTGAATAGTTGCTTTCATAGTGCGTCAAATAATATTACCGTATTATACTACCTAATGTCGACTTATCAACGTTATTATTAAGCATAGTCAACAAATAAAAATTTTGTATAATTTTGCTAGTCGAAAAGCATGTTTTTGGATAAGGCGCCGAGCCTTCTCCATTTCTCGGTGGCGCACTCTCTTCGTATTGTTTGTTCTTGTTGTATTTCTAGCCTTGTGTTACACTCGTTTTTTGATCCTTTCCAAGGAGGACGATTCAATAATTCCAGATTAGGAGCATGCGCGTCTGCAAAGCATGGGGTCACAGGGCAGTCGACACCGGAAAAAACCAGGGTAGCACCGTCTAATCACGGAAGCGGGGGTACATTGGAACAGCAAAATAAAAAGTAGAATTTCAGGTGTTACCTCATCAAAGGAAGCGTTGTGGCACTCTTCGTCTTTTTCATTCTGCTCCACCAAACGTCGCAAGGAAGTAATATCGCCAACACTACTATAAAAGGACCACCAGCAGTGGTAACCTTTCAATAGCAACAGCTCATGAGCTCTCGTTGACTTAGATGCTTCCGCGGTTTTGTAGCGATCTTGCCATGGCTCCTGTGGTCGCCCTAGCGACCACAGAATCATCATCCTCGCGAAGATTAACTTCACGTTGGACGGTTCGTTTTGGTCGCACGACACGTATTTACACTTCAGCACCTTGGCAGCAGCTGAAGCACCGTCGGGGTTTCCCGGAAGACCCAGACCAGGTAGTAGATTATATGTATGGAGCACCATGAAGGTGAGCAGATTGCACGGCTTCTTATATCGGCACACAAAGTGAAAACGAATGCGCCACACTTACATATTACCACCTTCGTAGCTAAATATAGTAGCATCGTTTAAAATGTAGGGGATAAACGAAAGCGTTGTGAGATCTATGCCACAAAAATATTACTACTGGTTCTTATCATTATTAGCGTTTCTGTTATTTGTGTTCACACACTTGTTCCCCCTATGAACGCACTTCAGCGAAGAAACGAGAAGGAAAGAAAAATAACGATACGAAACAAAAGGGAAAAGAAAGGCAAAAACGTTTATTTCGATTAAGACCGACGTTGCATGGCAACTAATATAGTAAGACTATTTACATGGCTTTTATATGAGCGACATTGATGACACATGGACATATATGCGACGACGAGACGAAAAAAACAGAAAATTAACAACTAATAATAATAATGATGATTATTGTGATGACGCTAGTAGTGATACAATCGGTGCTAATCACCTATTTCATTTGTTATTATTAATTCTACATGTTATTTTAATGAAATACCGTTAATAACATGTTAATAACGATCGAACAAGTGCACCTCGGTTTCGATTACCGCTTCAAAGCTCGCCTTTGTGCTGCACTTGTGCTGTGACCAGCAATTCGAAAACATCGGCAGCGCGTCTTGTAAGCCTGATCTTGATACGAGTGGGGCATCGGTCAAAGAAAAAGTTCTATCGGAGGGCCAGCTATGGTGAATTCTACGTCTCTTTTCGAAACAGCTAAATACATCAGCTTACTTTATTGATACACATATTGTATAGGGTCTTATTATACCAGAGAAATAAGCAAGTGAACGAATTGGTAAAACGAAAACGGCAGCGGTGTTCGATCGATTAACAATCGAAATAAATGGTATAGATAACTCGAGTGGATTTTCTATACGAATATAACAGTGTTCAATGATGCGGGCAATACATAGGCGGGTGAAGTGAGCAGACATAGTGAAACTGATCGTATCCTTGAAAACATTTTGATGGCTTCTACGTTTGCTTGGACAGTCTGATACATATGGAAACCCAGAAAATTAGGCAATATGCGTATGCAGTAGTTTTTTGATGACATCAATCTTCACATGCGTCAAACGTAGAACAGAAATTTCATAGTGGATGCTATAGGGGGTACTATGTGCTGAAGAGCTCTCGTCGCATCTCGTAATTTTAAAGACAGTTGTGCTAATTAGAAACTGGATTTAATGCATCCCCCAATTGGCAGGAAGCTTAACGGATACTGCGCCCACGTCGTTGCCTCACTGGTCATAACGCTTGATTAGCGAGGCATTTACTATGAAGTCGTTGAGCTTGCTGAAAGCCGTATGACTCTGAATGACATCACAACGAGCTGTATCGAACGTTGGAACGTCTTTTTTGAACTGCAAATTTGCTACGGCCTTTTCTTTATGACAACAAATTAATTCCAATAGTTAAGTACAGTAAGTGAATATTACAGAATTATTAACTATGGGCTTTCATTATCGAACACGAAACGATAAGTCGCTTTCTATTCAGCTGCCAAAACGATGAGTATAATCAATCACCGGGAAAAAGTAAAGCACAGTATGTTCTTGCACACGCCTACAAGGGTAACGATAGAAGCCAACTACGGTGCGCAGTGACAGACCCGAACAACAATGTAACCGCGACGATAACGTTTTGAAGCTTCACATATTGCAAATAATAACATTGGCTGAAAAGAAACAAGTTAACGTACTTCACCATTGAAGTCTTTAGCTGTTGTATTCGGCCGCTGATTGCAGCGAATCAAAACATGCATATCGGTATGGCCACATGGCTATATACTTATCCACTTGCTTATTGCAGATGAGGGCCACTAGTCGTGTTTTGGCTAGAGGACTTCTGCTGACGATGTCCGTACATTACGTATGTACGTTAGTTACGGCGTCCATGCGGCAATAACAGACGATAGCAGTAATGGCGGAAATCATACAATATATGATCAAGTCGAGTGGAGCGAACGGGTAATACCTGCTGTTACCATGGGAGTCATCCAGTACTACGTGAGCAGGTGGAACGAGCTAGCATGAAAAAAACGCAGTAGCAACGTTCAGTGGACAACGACGTCACACTTGAGAGCGCGGTGTTCGTTAGCTATCGAGTGTTTTCGGAGCCTTAAGTCGAAGTGCCGACACCATCACTGACAGGACAACAAATGGGACCAAAACAAACAGAACTAAGACAGCTATAACAATAAAGTTTGAGCCTGGGTTACCATGACTGCTGCTGTTGTCACCGTCGTTAGCGTTAACGACGTAAACGCCTATCCTTGGTCGGGCTGAAGGCCAAAGATCGAACTAGTTACCTGCGATGTGACATTCGGAGTATCTCAAGCATCGGACAGGTAGGTGAGCGACGCGTGCCAGTCGATCATGCATCCGAATTCGTCACTGGATGAAGTAAATTTAGAGGAAGGATAAATAGTCTGGCGGTGCTTGTTTCGACCCAAGAAGATGCTCGTTTTGCCAGGTATCCGGTCGCCTCTAAACGGTGTGAGAGACAGACTCATTGAGCTGATTTACTATTTTAGGGAAGGGTCGTGAGTGATACGTAGCGGGGTGAAACAGACTGCCGAAGAATTGAAAGGGTGTCTGCAGATGCAGCACAACCTATACAATACGATACACATTTAGTATACAACGGCGAACAGCGGCAGTGGCGACAGAGATAATTAAGATTACGATCAGAGCGGCCCATCACGTCTTTGAAAGCGGTACCAGCAGCAGTAACTTTCGCAACTTACATAACTTCTTCAGTGCACCGGATACGGGTGAGCAGACAGTTAAAAATTATGCGTGACACAACACAGCAACGAAATACAGCAGACGACACGAGAATCGTACATACAAGAACGAGTAAAACTCCATTGCTATTCATGCTTTTACAATACAACAACAATTTGACAGCTGCGCTCAGCGCGGCTGTATGAGCGTTTTTCTTCCTGTCGTATCGACATCATATGATAGCTTCTGTACACATACACATAGACGTCCACATACATACTACCCTTGCTCTGTGATGCAGATATCTACAGACAGACGATGGGCAACATAAACACAACGATGATACGATGAACGTTTTGAATCGATGATTTCTGATTGCTCCTACAGCGTTCTGTTTGAAGAGTCAGAGCGATTTCGCTCTTCAAGATCAGACTTTGGCTGGTGAAGGTAGTAATGATGAGGTGTCCGTAGTTGCGTACTGGGTTGTTTGATCTCCACGGGCAACTGTGGTCGGGGCATAGCTATCGACGACTGACGTAGGGGCATCTGCCACCGAAGCAGGGGCAGGTTCGGCCGAAACGGAGGCAACTGCAGCAACTTCGGGAGATAAAGTTTGGGCGTTGTCGGTAATGGCAATCGGACTACTCGCGGCGTACTGTGGCGTCCAGTGCTGCATCTGTGGCAAATCGGAACTTTTTCTTGGCGAAGCATTGGCGATACGTCCTGGATCGATCACTTGCTGCGCAGCCCCATCTTGTTGCCAACCCTGGGCGTTTCTGATATCCTGTATGCTTTTTGGGTGCGATGTCGCCGGAGTCTTAGCACCCGGTCCGGCAGTCTGTTCGCCATGGTGGTGAATCGCCGCGCTCGGCGCCGGAGTAGCGGCTGTCGAATTTAACACAAAAATAAGGTCAAAGGTTAGTTATCTAGCCAGGTACCAAAGGAACCATCTGCGGAGCTAGCAGATCTTTACATGCGTTTGTCGGAGTTCTATTTGCACTCGATCGTATGTCCTATCATTTCGCGGACATACCTAAATCAGGTTGCGTCATCGAAGTCCGCGGATGTATTGCGGATAATATGTGTTTGGGAATTCAATTCACACACGAAAAGGGAAAGCCTATGGTGGAATTAGCAGGGGCGTGTTGCTATGGTGAAGCAGTGGTAAGATATCCTGATGTAATACTGCCTGGTGGCGGTTTCGGGCGTAAAACACGAAGCATTTATTTACAAGGAAAGCACCGGGTGACCTGGTCAATGTTACATAACAACAGCTTCACGTAATCACACTTGTCCGTAATTCCCGTCTTGTTAACAACCGTCTGTTGGGCCACCTTAGCTCGTTTTTGAAAAACGCAAGTACGCAGATACACACACGAGACACCCATATGCAACCTGGACCATACTGCTAGTGCAAACGGGTCAAATGTACGAAACAGTAGTAAATTGTAAACAAGCGCGCATGTTGCCATGTGGCTGTTTCCGGGCACCATCACCTAGTAGCTGGTGTCGCTAGCAACAATAACAACTAATGAAGCTACTGTTGAGGTAATGAAGAACGTCTGCCCTATGTCTCGGATGTCTAGAGCACAGCACGCATGTGTAAGTGGCATCCTGGTTATTCATTCATGCACACATGACCAATATCGGTGTTAGCGCACTTTGTGCTGGATCCAAAGCTGTTATTCGAGCTTGCAGAACACTATTATTACATAGAAAAATACGAAATATGTATTATTTTTCGTCTACACAAAAAAATATTTCATCTATTTAATAGAATAAGGCATACTGTTTAAAATAGGAATTAAATAAAATGCTAAATCTTTCGGATATCAATTGCTTGATTACTCGAAAAATTAACGATTAATCAGTATTGGCAGTTCCTATGAAGGTAAACCTTTCGTGAAATGGAAAAGTTCTAAAACTCGTATTAGACATAATGCTTTTTGAGACAAGAAGCGTGCAAGCATTTGTCTCCGACTGGAAAATAACTATGCATTATGTGCTACGATAAACTCAACTTAGTAAAGTTATATTGCACAAAATCCTACAGTTTGTACTGTGGGTAATTTATTACCATTATTATTGTTATTATAATTATTATTTGGTTTTCTTTTTAGAATTACGTGCATCTATCTATACACGTATGGGTGAGTAAACTGTTGTATCTACTGAAACACTTGTTACTTACGTGCGTTCCAGCTTTGCTCTTGATAGGGGTTTTGCTTGGGCTTATCGGTAAGCTGTCCGGGTCCACCGTAACCGGGTGCGGGAGCATCCTCGAGATCGAATGCTTCAGTGGGTCGCTCGCCACCAGCTTCTGGGCGGTGGCCGCTGTCACCCTGGTGACCGCTACCGTAATTCTTCTGCTCCTTGTGTACATTATAGCCGTCGAAGTGGTTTTGCTGTTGTTGGTTATTGTTGTAGTAAGTCTGCTGCTGGTAGTGATTGATGTTGCCATAGTTCTGGTGATCGTAATACCGCTGCTGTTCGTGGTTGCTTTGTGGTGGTCGCTGATAGTCGCTATGGAGGTTATTTAGATGTCGCTGATAGTTATCAAAGGTTTGCTGCTGTTGTTTTTGGTGATGATGATGATGATTTTGTTGTAACGGTTTTTGCTGCTGGTGTCCATGGTAATTGTTAATATTTTGTAGTTCATACTGATGTTGTTGCTGATAGATCCCTCCATGGTGGTCATCATTGAATTTGTGCTCGGACGATGTCTTCTCAACCCGATTATAGATTAGGTGACCAGGCGGTTTTGCCGTCTCAGGCGCGTACGCCAGATCTTTCTTACTCGGAGGAGTCGTTGGGCGAGGAACCCAGCCGTCTGTACCAGGCCTACTTACGATCGGTTGCCAACCGCCGTTATCAATACTCTGGTGGGCTGGCTTTGTAATAGGAAATTCGTCGTCAAATGGTTCGATCGGACGTCCGTATCCGGCAGTCCTACTAGGTTTAGCCGGTTGCTCATGTTGACTGCTATAATTTGGTTGCTGTTGTCTGTAGTAATCTTCGTATTGCGGTTTCTGATCCCAACCATACTGTGGTTGCGCTCTGTTGTAACTGTTGTCATTCTGTCGATCCCAGCTCTGAATTTTGCCCCTTAGCATTTCGGGCTGTCCAGTGAAGTAACCCATTCCTTTCTCTCGGGGACCGCCGCTATAACCGGTGCCAGCCTTCGGCCAACCATGGTGTTGGAAATTGTTTTTATGTGGACCATTCGACCATCCACCACCGACGTTAATGTCGTTGTTGATTGGTCCATCATCCCACCCGCTGTTCATCTGGGGACCTCCATAGCCCCCTGGTTTCCTTTGGCTTCCCACAGGGCCGCCTTGAACCCATCCGGCTCCACGTCCGCGTCCGCCCCTCCTTTCTTTGATAAAGAGCAGTACGACTTTTTGAGGATTTCCGCCAGAAACTCCTCCATGGCTGCCATGGCCTCCCTTTGCAGGGAAATGCTGCTGTGAATGGGCATTACCGCCCTTATCAAGCGAAACATACACTACTGGAGCGGAGTTATGCTTTTGGCGTATTCCTTCTATCATTTCCATTGGAGCTCCCTTGAAGCCGTGCCCGTGGCCGCCGTATGCCCCCCCTGTTCCACCCTGTTGGCTGTTTGGCAGCGATACGAGAATGACGACCTTTTTACCCTCACCATGAGGATTCGGTCCGGCCCGGGGTCCTAGCCTTTGCTGCCAGTCACCTTGCGGACCTGGTGCAGGACCTCGAAAGGCGTTCCTCCATCCCCCTTGCCGGTGGAATGTGGGGCCGTACGGCCGTTGCCATTGCGGCGCCCTTGGTCCACTGGGCCAATCCTGTTGATGAAACGATTTGTGAATATAAACACAAACTTACTTTTTGCATTGCAATACATTGGTGAACAGATGCAGTGCGGTAAACCTCTACGTCTATAAAATGACTAAAGGTTGTTTTAGTCATAATCTGATGATAGAATCTGCATAGCTGCTGCTTGGCTTGAACAGAGAAACTAGAAAACGGCCGCTCTCCTGGATCTCAGTATAAGTTGTATATTTGGAACTTGAAATATCGATAGAATAGCAATCACTTCATATATACGTACACATATGTAGAGGATATTTTTTACCTGTAAATTGTTCTGCCAGCCCGGTTGGTCACGACTGTCCCATCTTCCTTTTTGCGGAGGGTAGCTTGGCGGGAACCGGCCGTGATGCGGCGGACCAGGTAAACGTGCACGGCTTCCCTTCTCTAGAGTCACTAGCATTTGTTTTTCCGGTCCATCCTTGATATTTTTGTTCCATAGATCATCATTGTGGATAACATCGAACCAGTTCGCATCTGCACCACCCTGCTGCGTCTCCTGAGCTAGCAGATCAACCGGTTCGCCGGTTAGCTTAGGCGCCGTATCGATGTCCTGAGCGGCAAACGCCGCAGCGCTAGCGAGAACGAACAGAACCTGTGACGAAAGTTATCGAGGCAGGGTGCACATATGAGACGTGAATAATCTCTAGAATATAGCTAAATACTCTTAGTTTGCCTAGTTTTGCTATTCTGTAAGTATAGACTTTTACATCCGTGATAACTTAATCGATGACGTATTTGCCTGCTAATCTTTAAGGGTACGTTGTGGTCTATGTTCAAATCCGGATATAAACACACGGTGCTGGGAGTCAGCCGTCTGTTGACGTGCCTAACGGCCATACCAGACGTAGCACTCGAAACATAGAGGCTTCCACATCCACTTCTACGCAATGAAGAATTCATTTCTAGTAGTCCGAATTGGTTGATGTAACTGCGCTAAACGGAAGCGCTTCATGTATAAAGCAATCTTGACCTTTTCGAAGGGTAATAGGCAAATTGTGTTTGTATGGACACTCCGTTTCATGTATAGGTAATTACAACGGTAACGTCCGTAACTTTCTCAAATTGCTGTACTCACTAAGTACGTATTTTACGTTACTTCAAATTCTGGTGCACTTATACGAGTTTTAACACTAAACCTACCGATGCTAATTGTAGACTGATCTAAACCATGCCCGGCTATAATGACCAATCTTCAAAAAAAAAATACTATATTCAAAGTAGATTTTTCGATGGCAACGTATCAATAGATAAAGTTCTAAAAAAAATTCAAATCATTGGTGAGTTTAGAGTTAAGATAAGTTCAACTTACTTATTAGGTACCTTGGATATTAACACTTTTAATTATTAACAACAACAGAAATAAGTTTGACCAAATGTTCGATTGACTACCGTAAAAGGGTAACATGGATATTAGTTGTAAGTTGTCTATCACATTATGACACGCTTTTTTTTTCAATGAGGCAGAAAGAAATAGATGAAACCGATTTTCTAAGTAACTTGGCTCATCTCTTGCATAAATCTTGTAAAAAGCTCTGTAATAGACGAGTTCTTGCGGGTATAATGGCAGCTCATTCTAAATAGAATGAAATGTTAATACCCTATGATTAATTCGTAATCTTTAAATCATACTCGTAATTCACGAACTGCAAAACAAACGATAAGATTCACAGCCGTCTCTAATTCTTGAGGTTGGTTAGCAAGAAAAATGTGAACGTGAGTTGGTGTACACAAATATCCTATTAATTTTTTTCGAGTAACTTAAGCAAAGTAAGCAGTAGCTACGAAATCGACCACTTCGAAAGACTTCGCGCTGGACTTCAATAACTATGAGAGACGTTTGATATTAGAGATATTCACAGACCAATACATAAACAAACATCCACGCGTACGTTTGTTCAGTTCAACATCAAAGTATAGCATTATTGAGCACGGGAAAAATGGAGAAAGGTACACTTCACTCGCCACATGAACTCAAACAAAAATAATGATCCAACGTGACCAGCTGTTCTGGGAACTCATTGATAGCAAAGATACGGCACAACAAAGAACGCATGACCGCAATTAACACGATTAATGTCTTAACGTGATCCTTTGGGCCGAACTAGATGATAATCCTGCACTTCATTAACGACAGAGAGAATCATCAAAAGAGCTCGGTTGCTGCCAGTTAATCCTCATCGGAAATCCTCAGATAGTAACGCTGTACGAGCTTCGCTGACCAGGTAAGTGCAGTTACGTGCAGACGTTTTTTTCTGCTAGTTTGATCCAAAGTCGTCTATTGTGCATTCGCAATGCACCTTGAGCATGGACATCAAGCCTCGTAAATCCTCAGAGCACTATTGATGGCTGTCGAAAAAAGAGTGCATGATACCCGAGACTCATGAACAGCAGCCGTTAGAGAAGCATTCCATTGGCTAAAACAATCGCATACACTAGACATAATGCGACTATTGCTATTATCCGTTGATTTCTTCGGTAGAATACCTCACTCTGTGTTCTCAGGGACTCACACTTACTCTCATCTCACTCCGTATGTTGGAGCCACCGCGCGATGAGGGAGCGGTGTAGTCGTTTTTGTGGGGCTCGTGATACGTTTGTGGGGTCGATCGTGGTCCTCGCGTGCTTTTGATGCACGGCGCCGACACATGAACCACGAAAGACGAGGCAGTTTGCCACTGCCGCCGCTGCTGCTGCTACAGGGGTCACGAGCGTCCCTTGCCGATGTCAAGACAGTTGGGTTCGCAGACAGACAAACAAATGGCAGGGGCAGTGGGGCGGGGAATCAAAGAGAAAAAATTCACCCATGAGGGCTTGTGTAGTGTATCATTGCTGTTGTTGGAGACAGGGAAACAAGCTAGAGCCGTGTTCAGCTCGCAGTAAGGGCGGGTAGACATGCAAAGCTGCTAATCCTGTTGCTCCGGCCATGTACGCTAAGTGCCTGCTTGCCGTGGTATCGATCCAGCCTGCATCTTCTTCATTGGCAATGGCAGCAGCAGCAGCAGCTAAATAGATGGAGATAGAAGCAGTCATTGTGATAGCCATAAGAGAAACTAGCGGGGTTGCTATTTTAAGTGACCACCGCGGGAAATGCGGGCTTCTGTGAAAAAAACCCACCTACAGCCACATATGCGAAAAAAGGGCAGGTACCGTAAGCTTCACCGGCGAATAAATAAATAAATATATATATATATATATATATATATATATATATAGTTATTGATTGATCTATACGAACTTACGCTATTAAACGGCATGTAGCTGTAACTATGACGTGAATTAGTAAATGAGTCCCATGGATATTAAACGAAGCGTATGTTACAGGTTAGAAAGCAGGCAGTATATGCTTGACAAAAGCTGATACGGCTTCATAGGATGGGATCCGGAGAAATGGTTGGTGCGAACTTTAAGTAAGCTATGTGAACAGCGCATTAAGAAAGTTGATATTATCGAATATAAATCTATAATCTAGGTAACTGATCGAAATAGCTGCGATGTGGTCAGATCATCAGCTTAAAGTTCTATCTAATATATTCAACACTGAACTGAATGTTTCAGTGTCTTCTTTTATTTCAGAAAGCTATTGCGTACATTTAATATATACTATGCTACTGGAAGTCCGTGTCTATCGGGCTGTCTGCTGATTCAATCGAAATGATTTTCTACGTGGTTAAATTAAGCTGCTTTTTGGGGGTCTCTAGAAATTCATTGTAGGAAGATCTATGTTTCCCGTTTGAGTAAAAAGTTTGCTGTTTCCTATATAGTCTAAGTATGGCTGGTAATAAGCCAATGACAGTCAGTTTCATTGAAAAGTTTTCCTTGTTTGCGACAACGATCGGCATCGTCCGTCAAATATATTAATATTCTATGCGATGTGAGAAGTGTTCTCAATATCTCTTTACTAGCAAAACGAGCGAGGGACGAAGTCCACGATGTACATGCTAATTAATATTTACTGCTTATCCTTTAGGCAAGATACCTTTTTGACGGGATATCCAATTTACTTTTTGACACTTTTTTATATCTCCTTAGGAATATATGACATGAATTGAGGGTGAGTACGTAATAGCAGAAGCAATATAAATAACTCAACCATAATCAAAAACAACTAAAGCCAAGAGCTATAAAATGCTCTTGTTATTTATTATTTACCTTTTTTATAACGAAAGCTTTCGCTATCAACCACATTGCCCAATCACGTTATTGGCGCTGCCCTTTAAAACGATGACCCGCTGTCTACCGTTATTTCTAGTGAATGTCGGGCTCAAAATGTAAACATTTTTTCCCAACGAAATACGATTATCAGAAAAGGCGGACCTATCCTTCTACGGGACACAGTAAGGCTTCTAACTTTATACGATCTATACGGATCAGGAACGGTTGTCGCCTAAGGAAGTCAGCTTTCTAGTATTCTAGTTTACTATCAGATTTTATCCAAGTTCGAATCTTTTAAATATTGACAAACTTCGTGCTCAATGAATAAGTGGCTGAGCGCCCTATAAGTAGAAGCACTTCTGCATTAGAGTATTTACCGTCACTGAGATAATAGGGATTACAGTACTCTCACAGTTGCAATGGCAAAGCTCCAAAGAACCCAGAATGTAGAATATCGAACTAGCTATACCATCAATTGAACGATACGCAGTCTGAGGGAAAATTCAGGACAGCTCATGATTCTGCATTACTAAGTATCAACTTAGTTTTTGTTTATTGAACTTAGTTTTTTGTTTGTGATTGCATCTCATTTTGCGGAAAGTTGAGCTTCTGAAACAAATCAAAATTAAGTATTTTTTCCTAGGTTCTGGTATTTCTTTTAATGCCACGCTAACACTATTATTAGTTAGGTCTATATACTATCATACACTCTATATATAGGTCTATCAGTAATAGAGTAGCTGTACGTAGTTTTTTTTTTTTTTTTTTTCGAATATATGGAATTCACTTCAATGGGAGAATGAATAATTTAACTAACTGTTTTTATGATTGTCAATTGTGTTATCAGTTGACCAACCTCTAATAATGTAATTGATAATTAAGACGGTCCATACGCTTTATCTTAATGTACATTAAGCACCGAAGTCTTTATTGAGAAGTCTTTATTGGAATGGCCTCATCTGTAAGGCCAGTAGGCTAAAAGATGCCAAATGAAAAAAAAAAGGCTACAACATCTATTGTCACCTTCTCGACTGTCTCAATCGCGAAGTTACTCATTAGATTACTTTGTTGAACACGGTGAAAGTCATGAAATGGACTAATTTATATGAACTTCTGCAACGGTAGATAGAATGACTGGGTCTGGAAAAATATTGCAACAGCAAAAAACGTTTACGTGTTTATAATACTTGTCACAACAGAGCGTCTGTAAATAGGCACGATACGTTAATTGATGTACAATTAAAGAATCGTTAGTTTCGTCCTGCCTAATGATCAGGTTGTTGTTGCGCGTCATAGCTATGTCAGCTTAAAAATTTCACTTGCGTCTTAAACGTTACCCTTACATCGTTTACTTCTTTACCAATGTCTAATGGTTCTTAAGAAGATGGCGCAATTGACAACAGATGTTTCCTGTCAATCAATCAATTGACTGGTTTGAACCTCTCTTCTGTAAATTCTCAAGTTATCGGTACCTTACATTACCATACATAAACGAGGCGTTCATTGCAGTCTATTTAAGAGTTATATCATTAAGCGGGGCGTACGTGTAGTTCTTTAAGAACTCTGAAAGAACTATTGTTCTGGTAGGACAAGGACTCAATGGCCATGACAATGAATGCTCGATCTGCGATGTAGGACGGGCCCCATTACACGAGACCTAACACCAAAGGATGTCGTCGTCTCGTGAAGGATGTCCTTCATTTGTATGAATGAGATACGCCCTGGTGCTCAATGGAGTCATGTCATGACATCGTATTAAGCCTACCATGGGCCATGTTCACTTACGCTAATTTCCTACTTAGGCGAAAAACTTCCAGGACCCGCTAATACCTATCTTATATTGAGCCCAACAAAAATTTATTCATAAAGAACTTGTGTATGGTGTATCCGTATTTTTCGCGTTAGATATTGTTGATGCACAGTCACAACTTGCGTATGCTCAACTTTAGCATTTAATTTAGTGCACAAATCTCGGATGTCGGGTATGGACGTAAGGATGTATCGGCTGCCTAGTGTTACATTTTGTTCCTTTTTAAACAATCCTTTTGCTTAGTTACTATTAATATCAATCGAGTGAATCTGCAGATCTTGCAAACACCCAGAAGAGCTCTTACTTGAAAATACCATCTAGCAACGCGCAATAAATCAATTCGGTTTATATGATAGTCACACACTAAATAGTACCATAAATGTTCTGCGGTCGTTCTCGAGTTCCTCGTTTAGCTAGCCTTTGCTAGCTAACATTGACACATGGTAAAATTCATACTCCTTGTTACCCACATCGGTTGCGTGCGGTCCTTTCGTAACGTCCTGTAGCGGGTTAGCTATACTTGAAGTCAATCGCATGATGTACCCGAAAATGTCACTCATAGTGTATTGGTTTAGTCATATACACGACTGCGTATAACATTGTAATGATCGGTTGCGATTGATTTCCCAATCAGTGCCGCTAATGATTTAGCCATGTCTTTATTTATGTATTGCGCTTGTTGGTAATGGGTAACAGTTGATTTGTTGCTCGGAAGCACGTGCTGATGTCCTGCCACGCTGTAGCCAATTGCAGGAAACGGTTTGAGCAGGACATGATCTTAACTATTCGTTATCATTAGCCAAATCAGTTCCACTTCACTGGCTTGCTAGCACTTCAAGGGTTCCATTCACGCTATGCAGGACGATGCTTGGTCCGATTCGCTGTTGAATCAGACTTGATCACCCGCTATTGCTAACAGATTTACAATAAAGCAGCAATAACTGACGCGGTACTATAGAAGAAGATCGAAAGAGAACGACAGTGTTTTATTGTTGTCTCCGTAACTAAACGCGTCTACTGAAAGGGACACGTTTTTATAGAGGTATATTGCAGTTAATTCGGTGGTACTCTATCTCGTTTTCGTTGAGGCATAACTTGAACGATTCGAGGTCGCTATGTTGGGTTTAATTAGTTATGTGAACCTAGTCACTGAGAGTCTTAAGGGCTCTCCACTAACGCTTCAAGTATTTGTTCTTGTTACTATTGACGTTAACGTGACATAATAGATTTCCAAAAACCAACATCGTAGTTACACGATTGACGTTACTCTATAATTAAATCAAGTAAAACATATATCAAAGATGGCTGAAATTAACTTTATGTTCGGCTCCCATGCCGGATTTGATTTTCGAGTGTTGAATCGGTTAGATAAATCAAGTTAATGATATATCGCGTTTTTCTGCTAGTGTTTAGTAACGTGAAATCTATGAACGCGCCAACGCTTCGCTTCAGATCGTTTTGTTATAAGGTGTTGGTGAGCGCTCTAGATGCGAACAACCCATCAAGTTTTGGCTTGCTCATCAAAAATCCATAAATTGATCCATAAATAAATATAAATCCATTGGTTTACGAAATTAGCTGCGGGAAAATTCATATATGTATAGATATATGCCAAGTAACAAAGCAGCGTTGCTATAAGGGCATGTTGTGATGGATTGCGATTTACCTTCTCTTTTTGTATTATATTTACTTCAAC